ATTTTGTAATTTCCCCTTTATATATATTTAAAGAGAATTTTTTTCATTGTTAATTATTTAGTATTTATTTGAGCTCCATTTTTATTCTAAGAATACATTTTCGAATAGTAGATTGATGGAAAATATGTGATTAAAAAATAAGGAAAAGTTTTACGTTTGCGTTAATATTATTTTATTGAAAAATGTATTGTTGAAAATAAGGAAAAAAATATATTTTGAAAATAAAGGGATCAAACAAGAGTTTAATAAATTTTAAACTTTACTTCAAAAGTTTACCAAGAAATTGTTTCCGTTGGTGTTCATTTTACCGTTTTTATATAGTTTTCGACGGAACTAGCAGTTGGAAGATCCGTCAATAAATTATTTAATTTATTATTTAAATTTTACCAACGGAATAGCAATGTATTGTACAAACGGAAGTCTTCATTTGGAAGTTCCGCAATTAATCAAATATTTACTTTTTAAAATGACAAAACAATAATTTATTGCTAATTTGTTGTTAATGCATTGGTAATAGCAACAGAAATTAAGCTTTTAATAGGTTAGCATTGGTGCCTTCTGCAGTGTGACCCGCCTCCCGTACTCATCCAGGGGCGGAGCTATGTAGAGGACAGTGCAGGCACTGGACCAAGAAGAGAAAAAGAAGGGGAGAAGAAAAGGGAAGAAAGAAAAAAGAAAAGTGTGCCCACAGGAAACTCACACTGGACCAAGAAGAGAAGAAGATAAGAAGAAAAGGGAAGAGAGAAGAGAAAAAGTGTGCCCGTAGAAATAGTGTGAAATTATTAGAAAAGAGTGCGTGACTTATTTAAATGCTAATTTTAAGTTTGACTTTCCTAAATTATGGTATTAAATTGATAACGGATAAGCCGATACCTATAAATAAGTGATAATTTTCATGATAATAATTAATCACTCCAAACAAAACAAAACAATAAAAAAGAAAAGGGTGTGTTTGATTACGAGTATAAAATTTGTATGGAAATAAAATATATTCCAGGCAATTTAATTGCTTAGAACTTATTTGTATGGGAATTGTTAATTAAATGCGGTTGATTAATTTAATTTTCAATTTAAGAAATATTATACTTGTTTGTTTTTTA